ATATTTATTAAAGTTGTCTCGAAACAAGAGTTATTTCATTATTGCCTACTTTACAAAACTTCTGAGAAGGGTTCTTGATCATTTTAAGAGCACAATATGCGAAGATACAGGACAGAACAAAGAAATAATGTAAAAGGGAAATAATGGCGATAACCACTTGAAAATTTGAATTGCTGCACAAACTTGAAGGAAACTTTGTGCAGCAATTCAAATTTTCAAGTATGAACCAACTAGTCTGCAAAAAAGTATGGCGATACACACCTTCGTTTTACTGAACTTTGATCAGTATCTAAAAATGAAATAGCTAATCGATGGCTCAATAACCAGTGCCACTTCAAGACATACGGAGTTACTCGGAATATTGTTAGGTTTAGTTACTTATATTTCATTTCAAGCAATACGTTTCAATGGAGAAATTTTTGGAAGCACATTTATAATCTCTCGCTTATAAGACTTACGAAGAAAGTCGTAATAATTAGTAAACAAGGCACACTAAAACCTATTTTAATATACTCACAACTCTAAACAGTGTCTGTGGTCATGTTTGCCCTTCGATCGGTGTGCTTCAATCAGTGCCTTTTGAGTTAGGTTTAACCTATGCAAAATAACCACTTTAAATGTAGCTTCAAACGGTTGTTACACATGCGGATATAGTTAAACGTTGTTCTACAGTCTAAGAACGTCATCATGGGTTCAGATAGGCAATGGTATTGGCGAAAGGTCTCATCCAGTTATCAGTGCCCATATCTACGTGTAAACGCGCAGGAATCACGAAGTGAAAGATGCCAGCTTCCTAATACAAAGTGAAACAATTCAAAGAGAGTGCTATAACGAACTAGTTACAGCAGTCTGAAATTTGTTTGTGTCTCATCATTGTCATTTTCGGAAATAAACTGGCATAATCATGCCTAAGTGTAATTCAGATACTACACGAAAGAGCAACAAAAAAATTAAAAAAACTCACATACGTATAGTTGCAGCTTCAATGGATCTAAAGCTCTCGCACAAGGGGTTAATACCCCGCTGTGTGCCTAGCATTTGGAAACAATGCGTTTTGATTGACCATGGGGAACCTCGTTGACTGCCAGAGGCGATCATAATCTTAGCAAGTGATTCTTGAGCATTGCTGCCGACTTCCTAAAAAACAGCGCATATAACGCAGTATCATGTTAGGCGTGTACAAATGGCTTCACCAAGCCCCGTAGTTATTAATGTCTAGAACGTAATGACCTTGCACATCAGGGTTTTGAACATCCGATTAACATCATATACAAGACCACTTACAGGGTACTATCGGGAAAGGCAGCGCCAAAGCCCACATGTGAAAATAACAAATGTCACAGGTGTGATGACTTAGCACAATGTGGAGGAATGAGAAATTTCGCACATGCTAGCTTGTTGAGAATGAAAGGCAGTATTACAAAAGTGCAATGATTTTCGCCTTTGTTTTATGTGAAGCAGAAGTAAAACTACATAAATTGTGTTGAGAAGTGTGGGACAAATAGTTTTCCAACGCTCTTTGTCAGGTATAATCAAAAGTTGGTATGGGTACAGGCTTGAAGAGAAGAATAACAAGTCATTATTTGCTTTGTTTTTTTGGTAACCGATATGACTTGTGTACAATATTTCACATTTGTAACGAGAATTCAATGCCTCATATTCTCTACATGGAGTTTACACTTGACGAACATACTTGACGAACATGTTTGCGTATATATGCATCGCGGTTTGACTTCATATTTCCAGAATATGAAGCAAACGTGCGTGTGAAGTTTTCAAGCAGTGAGTAACGAGTATATCCGAGTTGTCAACGCACATCATGGGACAGGGGAACCAGCCCCATAATAAACCCACAATGTGTCGTACAAATGACTGTCTTTTCCTCCTTTATGCTATGAGAAATGTACAAAGCAAGCCAAACATTCACCGCATATTTTGTAACTGAGAAACAACCGTGATGAACTTGCCAGAGCTGCAAGAAAATAACTTGAACCATGTCAGACTTGCTCAGAACTCTTTTACAACCATAACGCGAATGCAGCCAATTTGTAGAGGTAAGCAGGAGGCGAAGTGACCTCCTTTCACTGCCCTTTTTGACTCGCCAAAATTGGCGAAGGCGCATCATTGTCTCCACTCTGAGTCTTTGTGAGATAAGAGAACGCACAGACGACACGGTAGACTTGCGGTCCGTGTCTCATAAACACAAATTCTGAGTCAATTTTACATCTTTTTAAACATTTAGGCATTTATTCTCTCACTTAGGCAGTCGGCCAGTACATTCTGACGCAATCACTCTTCCAGTCAATAATTAACGACTTTTAACGACCATAATGCCGATCACTAAAGATGTCGTTTGTCTCTTGATTTTCGGAGTGGCCTTAGGTGTTCATTTTTTGGTAAAGTTCACTTTCATAAACCAGGTGTGAATAATAATGATAGTGCTTAAGATGTTACCATTGCCCATAACAACGTTAATTCCCTCTAGGCACATTTATTATGACTTGTCAAACGAGTATTGGGGTATTGAGTCCCACTGAATTGTCAAACTACGAAGGTCATATGTAAATGAGTGACTGATTAGAGCGCGCGGTCTCATTTTTGGGTTATCAGTTTCATCAGCAAGAACACGTTACTTGGAAGTGATTACGTTGCGGAAAATTCATTTAACGTGTTGTCTAGAACTTTTCCAGGACATTATGATGGGAAGGTTTTAAAATATTGAATCTTTAACAGCTGCTTGTCGCAGTAGTCAAAAACAATATCTATTAGGTGTACTATCAACAGCAAAAGTTTGCGGGACGTTGAAACACCAACAAATGCGAATTTTCGCTATATCAGTGCCTAATGCTTTGAATCAAGCTGCTGACAATAGGTAGGAATGCCAAGTGCAGTTTGGGACATTTATTGCGAAATAACATTACCAGAAAAAACGGGAATTCAACTTTAGCGAACATTACGTGTCCAACCAACTTTTGCTGTTGGTAGTACGTGTTGCAGGCTTAAAATACTTTAGCTGGCAAGCAGATGGAAACACTAAATGCTTGAGCACGCAGAGTTAATAGCTTGATGAAAGTTAACAAAACGTGAATAATATCTCGCGGATTTCAAAAAGCAGACTTGTCTGGCAGCAAATGTGGCATTGTATATATATACGTTTTTTTAGGCTTTCATAAACTTGTAGTGATCTTCATTAACGCATACTGTCATACTGTCACTTTATCCAAATGGACAGCGTGCAGGAGAGAACGCGTTATCGTTAGTAAGGCGGTTTCTTGATGGCCTAGGAGCACTGTATCAATTTATATGAATATATATTGGTATTTCATGCAATGACAGCTTTCAAATGCAGTTATTCAACATTCCTAGTACTAGAGGGCAAAGGCAAAAAACAGACTTCAACATACTTTCACTTGTTTATTTATTTTGCTTCGTGAATATTTAGTATCCGTCTATAATATGCATATGAGCAAGCTAATCGTGACGCGTTTATGTACAGGGAAGATGTGCAAAATATTTCTTCTTCAATGAATAGTGAAAGATGGAGTAAGTATAGTGTATGAACTGTCCGGTGTGCCGACCAATGTAGTGTTTCTATTATTACCTAATGCGCTTTTTGTGGCACACTGAACTTGTCTTATAAAAGTTGAATCAGTAATATTGTTCAGGTACACCAGGTTTTGCCTAACATAAACATCACCCCCGCGAATTGAGGACGAAACCGCGCATCACTTCGTGGCGCCTTTATCTGTGGAATCACTCTTATGTGGAATCACTTTTGTTAGTTTCGCTGCAGAGGTGTCGTGAATGTATGGTGTTGCTCTCATACGGCAAGCCACAAAAACAAAACGAAGATCCCTCACGTATCCTAACAGTAATGTTGTTTTGATGAATGAATGGCTATTTCGTTTGTTGTGAAGCTAAGAAAGATTGCAGACATTGGTGCTTTCTGCAATGATTTAAGTGCCGAACTTTTCACTCTGGAAAACTTTTACCTTCTTTTTTGATGTACATTCTCTCCCTGCCGTTTTAAAACTGCTCATTATCAAAACATTCCGAGCTATATGTCGTCTACAAAAGTAGTCAACGTTGCACCTACTTTATGCTACGTATGATGACGACTTCTTATAAGCAATTATTGAAAATGTGAGGCTAGAGTTAGTGTTTTTAACGCAAGGGACGCGGGACGCACATTGCACACTCATTGACATTGACTTGTAAGACGTTGCATATAAAAAACATTTTTGGCAGAATTACAGTACCATCATGCCCCGTGCAATAAACCACAATGTTGCGTAGTCTAGTTATTATGTTAAACAACCACCCGCTGTTATTTGGTGCTTCAACAGGGCTTTCATCACCTTTGGCGTATTAGATCAAATATATTGATTACCTGAGGCTTGGAAAGCTATACTGCTACATTAAAATGCTTCCCACTGTGAACTCTACTCATGACTCATCTATGTAACGCATTGAGCTCAGGCTTCGGATGAACATCTTTCCGACACATCAAGTTGAGCGTGTGCTGAGTGCCGAAGTCAGTAAAAATAGATGTGACGAAAGAAGCTTTACCGAGAAGGCACTCCCCCTCAGCTTTAGTTTCGCATCATAAGGATGCATAATGCATTGATGAAACGGACATCAGTAATACTGTAGCACTCACTTCTTTTCGGTACCACAAAGAGAGACACCCCGTGTTATGGTGCGTCATTTGAAAGTAACACTGCATATGAGTTATTGATCACAAAGACCATGGAGCGTTATACTAAATTATCAGGCGAAACGCTCAACGCCCCTTGTCCTAGCGTGCGGGGACAAAAATATGCGTAAAGAAGGCATCCGCGCTGACAGGGGAGCACACCCGTTGCTGCTTTTTTTTTTGCAAATTGCAGTGAATACTCTCAATATTGGCGCAGTCTAGACCACTTTTGCCATCAGTCCATCGTTAAACGCGGGTCTCGTACGTAGGCACTCATAAAATTGACAGCAACGGCCTGATGGTGTTAGAGGCGGCTTTTGGACAAGTCATAGTGGTCGGTGTCTGTCCCGTTGTCGGCCCTTTTGTGCGGCATCATGACCACTTCGACGGGCGCTGCGTTGTTAGATGGCGAATGCTGATGCGGTGCCTTGGAGCGCTTTGAGGCCTGAGCAATTTGCTTGGTGCTGCCCATGAACAGCATCTTCTCCAGATTACCAACGGGCGCCTCGATGGCCAGGAACAGTAGGAAGGCACACATGTACGTCATCATGAAGGCGAACAGGAAGTCCTGGAACTGCGCAGTGGGAGGAGCATACAGAGTAGTTTGAGACAGTGTCAGAAAATAGGCAAATATTACTGCCAATGAGGCTTGAGATAAACGTAATCAGAGCAAGCGTCCTCTTTATGAGTGTAAAAGTAAGGCCGTTGCGGGTAATTTGTCAACATTGAGGGATCTAGGTCGTCTTATTAGTTTTGTGAGCTCCTGCTTCAATCGCTGCAAAATAGTTTTGAGCAAAATACAATTTGTCCCTATTTTACGAATAGCTGTTCATGTCATAAGCTCATGAGTGGCATAACTTTATAGCGCTCCTACCGTCCTTAGGAGCATATGCGCTCGATTCAGTCTGAATGGCAAGGCTTGAAAAGGCAGTTAGAACCGTAAGAGAAAGCTTGAGAGTGAAATCGAGTATGCAGCTATGCGCAGGCGCAATTTCGAGCTCTCTGTTACCTGGGGAATGTCGCTGTCTCGCTTCTTCATAAAACAACACTCTCTCGCACAAGATGTATTTGGTAGGGTCAGCACTTGAAGTGACAGCAAGCAAGTTGTGGACTTGGGTGAGTTGGAAATTATACCAAGCTCACAAAAGCGCGTTATCAGATCGATTCATCCAAACATCATTCACAATAACGAAGACGCACTACATAGGTTTAGCTGCTTCTTTGCCAATGTATCTGCTCGTGTATCTTTAAAGTACTTCCCCAATTTATTACATGTAACATAAATGAAACAACAAAGCTTGCATATACGCACCATGGAGGTATGCGAGTAGTGAATGCGCTCTCGGGTGACGAGGCTCCTACTGAGAATGACCACGGTCTGCATAAGAAATGCGCAGAACGAGAGTCTGCTCAGTGGCACGAAAGCCGCCCAGCTCAAGAAACGGTTCACCAGGCCACCGCGGCCAGTCGCGCAGGCGAACGTCATCCAGGCCAAGCTTAGGGACCAGGCGGTGCGGTGCGTGGCCGCGTACAGAAGCGCGTCGGCTGTGTCGTAGGCGGCGCCCTTGTACCATCGGAATGGACCGAAGATCACCACTGCGGCTATCACGCCCGACAGCACCCACATGGCCGCCTGCATCAACTGTTACAGGAGCAGGCATGTGCCATTTTGTTGATGCGCCGCTGATGATGCCTTGTGCCGAATAAGCGCTTCACTTTGTGCAATGGTTCTACAGCAAGCGGTATGACAGAAAAGAAGAAAAAAGCAGTACAAGACTCTTGCACTTTCATCCTCAGAACCCTCGTCTCTTATATAACGAGTGTGAAGAAGCTTAGTTACGGACACATTATGAAAAAGCACCATAATTACTGCCATCTAGAAAATCTGAAACACAACCATAGAAGCGCATCGTCGGTATCATAGTCGGTTACAGCCTAAGAATAAATGCAAGCTCAGCCCACAGCGATCACTGTTCCACCCAAAGAGAACTTTTATAAATAGTCTACTAATTGCAATCTTTTATTTTCATGACGTCAGGACCTTACACGTATTTCAAGCATATATATATATATATATATATATATATATATATATATATATATGACTTAACTGCACAGGCACGTGTACATTTTGATAATTTTCAGTCGTAAAATCTTACTTATTGGCGAATTTCATCGAAAACTCCGACTTCACTGCTCAGTCAGTCAAACGTAACACTTTACCAAGAAACAGGCAACTTTTAGTTCATAACATGTCTAATATTTGCTTCATCAGCAGGAAGGTGTTTACGGTTAGAACGGAAATTACCAATAACTGCTCTGTTGCACAGGTTGGCGTGCTGCAGTACCGAGGGCAGAGCGTGTATTTATTCTTAGGTTGTTACCGACTATACTTATCTGATTTAGCACACAATGGCTGCAAAATAGACACAACATCGTCGCTTTAGATCATTAGTAACACAAATCCCCTTATCTACAGCGTATTGTTTATAGAGGGGTCATTTACTTGTGTGCCGGCCTCATATGACCGTATAGGGGTGGTTGAACGACACTTGCACAGAACAATAGCGTCCCAGGCTTGCACGCCACTCGAAGTCGTTTGCAGAGGTAAATGGGTTGTAGGCAAGTCACAGGGACTGCGGAAGTTCACTTGCATGACGAACGAAAAAAGAAAAGAACTCGCAGATAAGGTTTTGCAACCAACGCATGCGGAAGTGCGAGCTATACTCTGATGCTTCGCTGCAGGCTTCATACTTTCTAGCGGTGCCCAAATAGGCGCATAGCCCAGAGGCATCAATTCAGGGTTGTTTCCTCGACGTCTCATGAGACCTACTAAAATGGGTATACGACATGTCTAAATTTATTGTGGCAGTAGTAGAATGCGTGAGTTCAACAAAAAGTCGCATGTGAATGAATACATGAAATGAAATTACCAGATTGATTTTCATAGCTCCGAATGCGAGCACAGCGTATCCTGTGGCGACGCCCACGCAGAAGGCCCCAGCGTGGGCGAAAGGCTTGAAGTACACCTGGTTACCAGCATCTATCGTCTTGCTGCGATGGGTTGAAAACACGTGAATGACTGTCACCCTAGAGGACTTTTGTGCTAGATGGTTCAGTACACTAAATGAGAACACAGCACCGAAAAGAGACAATGGACGACGACAGGACGAGTGCACGTCTTGTCGTTTTCTTTGTCTCTCTCTTTTCGACTCTATGGCCTTTGAACTCTCATCCTAACTCTATTTTGCAAATGAAGTTGTGCCTTTAACTAGAAACAAAGCAAACTTGTAGTAAAAGCTGAATGCGTGTAACCATACCACACGTGCCGGTTGCATGTGTTCTATAAATAGGCAACCTGAATATCGCTATTGTTTGCTTCATAGCTAGGAACTATATTTGCGCCACTATTCATAGCTAGTTATCTTGAAAGCGTTGTTATTAGTATGCGGCTAGTTGCTCAGAACTTCCACAGGTGTCAGTGGATCAATCGTTCATCTGATTTAAGTGATCTTCTCAATAATTTCAATAGGGCCAACAATCTGCATTGATATTGCACGCAAAAAAATGGTTTACCCTTTTAAAAAAGGGTGCTGGAAACTTCGATAAGCCGGGATGTATAGTCCTTCGTTTAGTTTATGCTATACTAATAGTTTATAGGTGTCTCAGAAGACCCGGTTGCTTCAGCATACTTGCGAATTTATCACAAAGAATATTGACTTTCCAGATTTTCTATTTTGGGCCACTAGGGCAGCCATTTGCTCATACGACGCTTGCATGCAGTGTCAAGAGTCAAAATAAACAAGTCATTAATACTTAGTCAGCCCCAAGTAAAGACTATCGCTGTTTACAAGCAAATAAATCCCGACAGGCTTCCGATTTTTCATGCCAACACATCCCGCTAAACTTGATAAGTTTCTAGGGAATACGAGGAGGAGTAGAAAAGTCACGTTGAAAAGGAATCGCGCCGATCTTCAATGCTTTTACTCTGACAATCTTCGTTTTAAAGGTGAAGCTTGGCGTTTGTTGTACGGAAAATAATCTCCTTGAGAAAATAGTAGGCCCGTGTGGTGCACGATGCATTTCCGGCTTACCGGATACCCCTCGGTGACAGCCTGCCAACCAAATATTGTCACAATGCAGCACCAACGCTTTTAATTTAAGTGAATGTTATAACTGCAGTAGCTTAGCCCTTCTTCAACATCCTATATTTTGACTTTTCGGAAACTCTCAAGAATCATCAGTACTTGTGTAGTACCCGATTATACTAAACAGACCACCAATGAGCGTGGACTGCACTGCTAGCACGAAAGTTATAGCTATGTGGGGCATATCGTTCATATCGAGAAATAGAATCGAGTCTCACTTGATGTTGGTGTCGGTGTATATAGCTGTAGGTCCGTAGTCGTAGAGACGAGTCTGTATCGCGACTATAGCAGATGTGACGAGCACTACGAGGGTGAGCACTCCGAAGCCAACCTTTTTGTACCTGAAAGTATGCGAGAGTAAAATTGCACTGCCAGTCACCTTACAGCTCGCTGTTTTGTTTCATAATAGCGTGGGCACTCGAGCTCAAAACGACGTGGTCTAGAGTCGCAACTAAATGATAAGTAGCAGCAGGCCCTTGAAGCTTGAATTTACTATGCCACATATTGTAAAACCAAGTACAATAAATCCGAGTTTTTATTGTGGTTTGGGTACATAGCATCTAAATTGCGCTGTTAGTTGGAGTCATTTCTGGTTTGACCTTGATGTTCTATGTTGACAGATTGTTTCTGAAATCCAGATTAGAAAAAGGAGTTCATCAAGTGGTACGGCCATACTCCAATCAAACAGAAAATGGATCTGCTGAATTGTGCCTTACGCTTCGTATCCTTTACTCCTGCGCTGCTCTTCCCTTCAGGTATGTCTCATATTTCGGACCCTATTCAAACATGATTAGGAATACTTTTCGCACACATATGGGAGCTAGCTGCAATAGCCTCCAATAGCATGTGCACTAAGCATTGACAGGACCGAATACAGTTCCAAAAAAAAAGGAGGACAAACGTTGGTGTAACTCACCTAATCTCCCGCACTTTCAAAGTTATTATTGACATTCACTTTCCTTGTAGGGCAATGATATTTCATGAAAAGCAACTACAGCGTCAAGCATGGCTTTGCGCTAAGCATGTGGAAAGAGTGTTGATGGCAGTATTGCATCACAAAAAAAAGAGAGAACAAAAGGACTGTTCGCAAGCTTATTTTCGCATGTGTTGAATTAAGCAGATTTTTCACACAAGCAAAAGCAACGTCATTTTTGTATAATTCCAAACAGAGCTTATAACAGTTCGAAAATATTCTTTCGGAGTAGCATTGATGGCAAACGTTGCACTGAATCTGTGTACGTGAAACACTCATCGAGACAAATTGAGATAAGAAATATAGAAGCTCACAAGTGTACATAGACTACAGTGGAAACAAAAATTTAGAGAAATATTAAAATGTCATACCTGATGATTAACATCGGAATGACCCATAGAGAAGCGTAAATTTGCCAATCGACGCTGACGTACCAAAGGTGACCAAGACACTGAGGAACAAAAAGAAAACACATGAAAAGTGTGTTACAATCGTGTGGAGGTCATATACTATAAATATCAAAAGGTAATTTTTATTATGATGGTGGCGGCGGCTGTTCGTACCTATTGAAAAAAATAATTTGCACTTGTGACTTTCCTACAGTCATAATATCTTCCAGTTGCTGATAGTTTTCGGCCGGGATATGCCCAAGTCTCAATGCTTTTAAAATTAGTAGTTGGAGATTGCATTTTTTCCACACACACACGCACAAAAATCCTTCTAAATGCGATGCATTTCTTAGTCGGGCTATGCCAGGCTTCCGTCGGAATCCGTCCACCACCCTCTCCCACAGCAACATCTGAGGGCGCGCGCCCCTAGCAACTGGAGCCTCCACCATGTCACGCTTCGGCGTCGGTAGCTGTCAACAACAACTGCGGGCGAGCCCCTAGCAACCGGAGCATGTGGTATGAAAGAGTGTAGGAGAGGGTAGGTGCAGTGCTCCTTCTCTCGCTGTTCACTCTCTTTCCTCTTTGCGCCCCACTCTCTTGTCCACTCGCGCCTCACTTGCGACCATTCGCTTGCTGGGCGCCTCTCAAGAACATCCGGAAATGTGTGCTTGAGACGCCACTGTGAAACGCCAACGCCGAACTGAGACCGCTGTTTCTTTTGTACCCTTCATAGTATTTTAAAGATGATAGTTTTTTTAGGGAACCTTCGACGCCAAAACTTTGGTCTCTCTGTCTGTCTATTTGTCTGTTTGTCCGCGGTAATGATCTCCCTTATGGCATGAAGTGACCGAACGATACCTCAAACGGCCAACCCCATCCGCAGTGCCCATCAATATTGCTCGAGTTTCAGAGTCCTTACTTGTGCGAATGTCAATTAAAAAGCAATTATTGCCCATATCTGAGGCACCATAATAACACGTTGATGTTTTGTATGTGGGGCTTTATACTAGAGAAGGCACACACAAGTAATTCCAAGGACCGTAGCGTTTATCACGCTGCTCTGACAGTGCAACGCTATGCTCAAAAAAGCAAGTGTTTCCAACGCTTTGCTAAGACGACATGGTGGTGGCACCTACCCGTCACTTTGCGTTGTATACCTTATCGCCTCCGAGAGAGCCACGCGTCTTTCTCCGCGGGCGCGCACGCCTTCCTTCGTTTTCGAAGACAGCTGCCAGATGGTGCTCGTGTATGACGTGCCTCGATGCGCTCGTTAGCCTTCGCTGCACGGATCGAGACTCTCTAATGCTGAGCTTCCAGAATACAATTCACCGATTTTCTCCCGCGGAACATCAAATGAACGTTTTGTTCACTCCCTCCACACGCAAGACGCCTTTCGATGACATTTGTAGTAAAACATAACCATGCACACTAGCTACTTAAGCTGGAAATGCATACAGCACTTCGCGCGACAGAAAACCACCATGTGAGGTGAATGGTGCTATTGGCTGCACGGTGTAAAAAAAAAAGAAAAGTAAAACGTTATTCTTCCACCGCTTGGTTCTCATGTGCGATACGCCGTTATGGACGCTACGCAATGCCCTCACGATTTCCTTCGGGAAGTGGGGGCATTTTTTTTTTTGCTTGGTGACTTGTTCAAGCGGCATCACCGTCATTCGAAGCCCTCCACTACGACGTCCATGACATTATGGTTTTGGGGTGTTAAGTGCAATTATTATTATCATTTGCAGTGGTGGTGGTAGTGGTAGTGCCTAGCGTTATGGACACCTCATATCATCTGTGGAACTGTAATGACTAATGATAAAGCAATTGGCTTCTTCGCCCTGCTTGACACGACTACCTTGATCTACGCAGCCTGCTTGTCGAAACAGATCTGGTCCTTTTTTTTGTGCATGCGGACCTTTGAATAATTTTAAATGCGAAGCATTTTTGAGTGAACTTCGGCGACTTTACCGTATCTATCTATCTATCTATCTATCTATCTATCTATCTATCTATCTATCTATCTATCTATCTATCTATCTATCTATCTATCTATCTATCTATCTATCTATCTATCTATCTATCTATCTATCTATCTATCTATCTATCTATCTATCTATCTATCTATCTATCTATCTATCCATTCATCCAACCATCTATCTATCTATCTATCTATCTATCTATCTATCTATCTATCTATCTATCTATCTATCTATTTATCTATCTATCTATCTATCTATCTATCTATCTATCTATCTATCTATCTATCTATCTATCTATCTATCTATCTATCTGCCTACGGCTTATAACTCTACTGGCAGTTTGGATAATGGTATCTAAACTAAAATTGGGATGACACAATGTAACTGCATGATGGGCATAAATAATTAGTCATAACATGAAAATCATTACGTGTTTTTCATTAATGTCAGGATTTACATGTCACGTTTTTGCTGTTCCTGCAGTGGTTTCATTCACATTCATCATTATCATAAGCCTGACTACGTCCACTGCAGGACAAAGGCCTCTCCCATGTTCCGCCAGTTAACTCGGTCCTGTGCTTGCTGCTGCCAATTGATACCCGCAAACTTCTTAATCTAATCTGCCCACCTAACCTTCTGTCTCCTCCTAACCCGCTTGCCTTCTCTGGGAATTATTCACATTACATATCGTCAAACTGGCATGGTATGATATGACTGCATGCAAACATAAATGACAGGCCCTCAAGTGTGAATCATGACATGCATGTCATGTAAGAGCGTGACTACATACCAGGCTCAGATGCACTCACAGTCGTTTCGATAGCTTGAAATGTACCAAAGTAGGCGTTACGTGATGTGAATGGATGACGAAAGCAGGTGAATTGCGCAAACATGATAATCATCGCATGCGTATCATGCAAGAACAAGACTACATGCCACCCTAATGATGCGCTCATGGCCATTTCGCTAGCTTCACATATACCAATTTTGGTATTACGCTATGTGAATGAAGGACGAGCACAAATTTCATACCAAAATATGATAATCATGACATGGAAGTCATCTACGCTTTAATTTCTGTCCTGCTCGTGACGTTGGGTTCATTTTAAAGTGACATAACAGTTTTCCTCATTCGTGCTTTGCATATCATCGATTCCCACTGTACATGGGATTACCATTTTTATAACCCAGGAATGTACCTAAAAAAGTGACCTGCTTTTGACTTTCCGCGCACCGCGGTTACGTTTTACGAGCAGGTGGCTTTTACCGTTTTTTATCAATTCAGTAGCTTATGCTGTAGTGTGCAACATCTAGAAATCAAAATAGAGAAGCAAAAAAAAGGTTACAAAAACAGGTGATTATATTACTTCTCCCATGTGCAAGTAATTATTGCAAATGAATGCGATCAGGTACAAATGTGCGATGAATATAACTGAAAATAATAGAGCAGAACACAATATTGAAACTATATACGGTATTTTTAAAAATACCAATATTGTTTTTTCTTGTTGCACTGCAAACGCAGTGCACTGTAAATGTGGTGCGCAGTAAATGTGCACTGTGAATGCGCAAACATTCGCTTTGGCTTCGAGTCTTCATCGCATGGCAGTCGGAAGCAGATTGTCGGGCCAAATGTGTATTAGTTACGCAAGCGAGTGTGGCATTGTGCTTTCTTTGTCAGTCTGGTACTCGTGAAGGAGAACTAGTTTTTTTTCTTTTCATCAAATCGCGATGAAAACGTGGGTGTCATATGGCACTCACCATGTCGAAGAAAGGCACCCAGTTATTTATGTGAAGCAGTACGCGCCACCAGTTCTTTTCGCATTGACCAAAAAGGATGTCCTTGTACTCGGAGAATAGCGGGCCCGTGAGAATGAGTGGCATTAGAAGCCATATTCCCACCAGGAACATCACCGGTGCTGTGATCCTGTTGAAGAGGGGAAACTAACAGGCTTAGAGGGCAGCTGGTGGAGATAATGCACTAATGTACATGAAATGAATGGCAAAACATAACTGCTCAATAGATTGAACTGTGCGTACTTGTGACATATGCATTGAAAACAGTATCCTTGATGCCTGAATGCAGAGAATATATGTATGTATGTATATATATATATATATATATATATATATATATATATATATATATATATGTGTGTGTGTGTGTGTGTGTGTGTGTGTGTGTGTGTGTGTAGGCGAACATTGTTAGTTTCTATTTGTCGCAAAATGCAGACAGCCCAACCCGAAATCCCAAAATAAAAAAATGCGTTCATAAAAGCGTTCGCTGATGTCTGACATCCTACGTTATTATGTTCTATAACAACATTGTCTGACAGTCATGCTGCTATGGTCTTAAGAATACAGGGACATAGAAGCATTACAGCAGTCGTCGGTACTGGGTGCTCCCAGGCAGCCTTTCTCCCGAGCATTGATTCGATCTTGACGCGCTGCTTCTGATCAGTGGTCTGAATATGCGCACCGATCATAACTTGCCCGATAGTTTTTGTGAAATGATGTTAAGAGATATAAAGAAAATTGTGTACTTGCTTGTTGTTATACGCATCAAAAATAAATATTTAAAGTATACGTTTATTGTGATAGTTAATACCTGTTCGGGCCAGCTTTCTAGAATCAAAAGTATTCGTTTCGACAAATATTGGTAAGGTCTGCAGGACATCCATACCTTATGTATCGTCGAAGCAGGAGCAAAATTATAGGAACGGCCAGGGTCCCTTTGTAATCCTTGAGGTACTTTATCACGTTGAATGCCACAAGAAATCCACTGTAAGTCAAAAGGAAGAAAAGAGAGAAAAGTAAGACAGATGGTTTGTACGAAACTATTACGAGAGCGGCATCACGATGATAAAACACACTTGCCAGCGGTGCGCATTGAGCAAGCGGCTGGAAGGAGCGTTCAAGACAGCCCACTTCAAATCGCGTGTTCCGTGCCCACCGCTGGGTGCAAGCGCTAATACAGAGAATTTCTATCACCTTATAAAAAGGAACGTCTGGATGCAGGGGTAGGCGTTGGCGATCATGAGGAACGCGGCCTGGCTGTGATACTTGATTATGTTGAACGAATCAGCTGCAAGAAACAAAACCAAATGTCAATTCAAAGTAACACAGAAATATTGGCTTTGTGAGTCTTCTTTGTTCTCATTATATTATCTGGCCCGGTTTAAAGCTTACGTAAGGGTTAAAAGGGTTAAAGCTTACGTAAGGGTTTAAAGCTTACACAAACAAAATGTATATAATGTCAGTTAATATTTTAAATAATACTGTAGGAGATGTCATGCTTTGACATCTTGCATTTGGTGTCCATTGTTTTAAAGCACAGGCATGTCAGTGAACTAAAGCCATCCATTTATTTTATAATCTTAAGAATTTCTTCAAAACCAGTTTTGCTCTGCGTTTGTTTGACTTCCCAGCCCAGCCATTGTCAACCTGTACTGCGTAACTCATCGTTTTTTTTTCTTGGGAACACAATGCCGATTGGCAATCGCACAACATCTTTGATTATAGGTACAAAACTTTTAAGGACAGTACCTCAGCACCAGTAAAGTCGCTCATGCTGCGTGGCGGGTAGTACGTCTTTAGAGACTTTGCTGTTCTGTTCTTTTCGAAATGCTTGTGAATGTTTAGTTGACATTTTTTTGTCATATTCTAAACGATTTAGATGAAGGTTCATCTCATTTAGAGAACGCCATGCACACATACAATCACTTGGTCATATCATTTTTTTTAGCTTCTACTGCCGTTTCCTATAACCCTCTTCTGTTGCCGCTTCTTGTTTTGGCATGCTTCCATGGGCGGATTGCCTGATTCGTGTGCATACTAAGTGGCATCATGATGATAATCAAAAGACTTCACTTCAAGGCAGGCTTACCCAGCGAGGTTACGCTGACAAGGAAGTAGGTGTGTCCCAAAATGACCCACGATGAACTCCAGAATCGCATGCCGTGAATGAAGCGCAGCTTTATGCTGTCTGATTCACTGGCCGCTTCTGTCGTGAGCAGCATGTTGGTATTCGAGACAACCGAGAAAGCCGTCAGCACCTTGGTCAGTGGCTCTGAAAGAACACAATAACGAAGTATAATAAGAAATATACTTGATAAGAAGGACAGTGAGAACACTTTTTTCATTTGCTAAATTACAGCGTTCATGGTACCGTGAAAAGGCAGCTCAGGGAGGGCGCTATTCAAGCACCAATATCGTCGTAACTTCTATCTCGGGCTCATATGCCGACGGCTCGGAATGACACCCATAGCTTGCTTGTAATGCTAGAACAACAGTAGCAAGTACACTAATACTGCGCATTCTGGCCGGAGCCTTTGAGCTGTCATGGTATTGATAGCACAAGTGCAGCGGCGCGTTTCAGGACTGCAGGTCTGCTCAGATGCTCAATGCTTATAGCTGTATCGTCACGCTTCACTACGTTGACTTGGTAGCAATTCTACAGCAGCGATCTGCATTCCACTGCTGGCATGTCAATTCAGTTCAGAAACACTAATATTTAATAATGATTGCTGGGGTTTCACGTTCCAAATCCACAATATGATTGTGAGAGACGCCGTAGTGGAGGGCTCCGAAAATGGAACAACCTGAGGTTTTTTAACGTGCACCTAAATCTAAACACACAAGGCTCAAGAATTTTCGCCTCCATCGAAAATGTAGATGCCGCGGCCAGGATTTGATTCGGCAACCTGCGAGTCAGCAGCCGAGTGCCTTAGCTTCTAGACCACTATGGCGGGTAGAACCACATTAGCGTGTTTGAAGCAGCTGAATGTGTACCACAACGTACTGTATCCATTCGTCTGAGCGAAACGAATGACAAGCATCCAGTCACAACTATCATTTCACAACTATCATTTCATTGGGCCGCAGTAAACACCGACTTTTCTTTTTTTTATTGAATCATGCAACATTGAAGCGTTTGACTTTGAAGTGTAACGCTGCTGTCAGCGTCACTCATTGCGCCAATGTTTCAGAACAAGGTGCTCTTTCTTTATGCCCGGCTGCAGTTGCCTCACGTACCTATAGTCAAGCCATGTCTGCGTATTGTTAGAACACCGTTCGAGGAGCTCGAGCGCAACGCTGAACCATGCTGTCGCTTCGGATAAATCAGGGGCTGAACGATGCCCGCGACAATATACTTACCATGTAGTTTTAAGCCCGTATTCGCAAATGAACCTTCCCCTTATATTATGTTTTCCTTAAGCTTTTGTGCACTGAAAAATGGCAGGAAGGCAAAAGGGGAAGCTTACGATGAAAAAATCCGTAGGGGCTCTGTCGAGTCGACATTTCCATAATCGGGGTTGTCATTCCTAAAGGCTGCGCCGCCGCGGTGGTATAGTGGCTAAGGTATTCGGCTGCTGACTCGTAGGTCGTCGGTTCGAATCCAGGCTGCGGCAGCTGCATTTCCTATGGAGGTGGAAATGTTGTAGGCCCGTGTGCTCAGATTTGGGTGCACGTTAAAGAACCCCAGGTGGTCGCAATTTCCGAAGCCCTCCACTACGGCGTCTCTCATAATCATATGGTGGTTTTGGGATGTTAAACCCCACATATAAATCAATCAACACCTAAAAAGCTAGAACACAACTGTTCTAGCCTTGGGGTAGACAAGTTCGTTTGTCGAAACGTCGACTGGACACAACCCCTGTTTACAGACTTGTACACGAAACATGGCTTATAAGGGCAGAAAAAATGGTAACAGGCCAAAAGATATGTGTACTAGATTGGTTTGTGAATACCGGCCTGCTTTGTCTATCAAACACACTATATACGAAAACCTATAATAAAATTTGGAGATAAGGATCAGGTTAACCTGCTAATGCAGGCCTTAAAACTGGGTTGCATGCAAGCATTCGAAACGGTCACTCTCAATTACGGCCATTCCCCGATTTTGTCCCGGCCCATGCTGTCAGCGTAGTCGTCAACGAAGGCAGAGAGAGAACAGCAGGTAGCATCTTAACTACAGAAATCGACACGGCAGGAGAAACAGTGGTAGCGCTAGCAGTCTAAACCTGTACTGACACAGCCGTAATACAACCGATGCGCAAGCAGCTTGTCAAAATTTTTATTAAGGGGGAATTTTCAAGCAAGCCTTAGACATTTTCGGCACCACAGCGAAGTTCAATATACCAGACACGTACATCGTTTGGACTCCAGGTAATGAGTATTTGATGGGAAATGACGCAGCCTAAGCTTTCGCCCGGTTCACCGGGCCATCACACAGGGCGCGCTAAGGGGGAAAGATGATGTACCTTAAAAGTACAACAACGTACTGCAGCACTACAGACTAAACAGAAGAATTTATCTGCCAGCGCATTCAAGCCTGACTCGGCAAGAGGCAGGCTTGGATGAGCGTAGGCGTTAGTCTGCAATTTTCTGAGGGTTACTGCCTCTTCCCGAGTCAGTAACCCTCCGAAAGCTGCAGACTAGCACCTACGTTCTCGGTACGTTGCTTCACCGCATCTCACCAACTGAGTACTCGTTCACCTGCAAGAACTGTGATGTCCCTGAAACTCTATTCGATATGGTATGTGGATGCAGACAAAGCCCCGGAGCCACTACACTATCCGAAGAGCAGTGAGAGGCCAAGTTATCAGACCCGGGCCTAAAGAATCAGCGCAGCATGGTTCAACGGGCGCGGGAGATGGCGAACGTCCGCGGTTACATAGAATAAGGAGGCCGCCACCTTGGGCACACAATGCGTTCGCTCAAATAAAAGTTCGTTCTCTCTCGTACCCATCGTTGTGATTCAGTCATTAAGGCGCCATATGTACACGGTTATATCGCAGCTGTGCATATTTATTTTTTATACCGTTGATATACTCGCTATTGCTAGTTTATTTAAACATCATCTCAGCGTTTCATATGATTGATCTTGCACCAGCAAGTTTATTAAGTCCTGATGATCTCTGTAAGTTCAACCCAATAGATTTGCGCCAGATGAAAACTTTGTTACTAACTGCTAAACGAACTAGCTATGGATCACATCATTTTTTTACCAGCTAAGATGTATAGCAAATTGTTCCATGTTCGTGCAACCAGAAAAATATCATCATCGTAAGCGGTTATGCGCCACATAACTTGAATAAATTCCACCACACACCACTGGTCCACTAACGATGGAGACAACAGTTAGCCGAGTACATGAGTCTTACCACAAAAGTTTCTGTGGCCAATTGGAAAACTACCACCATCATAAACGGGTGTGACGCAGAAGTTGCTTGAACCCGCTACACACGACTTCCACTAAAATTGAGAGGTCCGAACGCTTGGTTTCAGCGCGACATTTTCCCTTTAGAAATTGGACATTCGTGTCGTGTAGGTGATTGCCTAGGGTTTAACTCGAACCTCCCTGCGCTGTTAGCCACCTAAAAAGAACCTGCATTACCTAGTTAAGGTCTAGAAAGAACCTAGAGGCAACCAGATTACCCTTCTGGATCGTGGAGTTTTGCTGTTTCAATAGTGGCTTCGTGCCGGCTTCATCAATTTTTTTCCTGTTTCGCTTTATCTACTTGGCACTTAATAGAATCACACATGAAACAATGTTCACGGATAGTTTTTAAATACGAAGCATTTTTAGCCAACTTCGGTGACTTGAGCCTATCTATCTATCTATCTATCTATCTATCTATCTATCTATCTATCTATCTATCTATCTATCTATCTATCTATCTATCTATCTATCTATCTATCTATCTATCTATCTATCTATCTATCTATCTATCTATCTATCTATCTATCTATCTATCTATCTATCTATCTGTCTGTCTGTCTGTCTGTCTGTCTGTCTGTCTGTCTGTCTGTCTGTCTGTCTGTCTGTCTGTCTGTCTGTCTGTCTGTCTGTCTGTCTGTCTGTCTGTCTGTCTGTCTGTCTGTCCGTCCGTCCGTCTACGACACTTAGCTCTTCTGGCCGTCTCAATAACGGTATCTATACTAAAATTCGTATGGAATATCATGATGGTATGACGAGCATAAGTGACTAATTATAACATGAAAATAAAGATATGTATGTCATGAATGTCATGATTTACATTTTTTGTCTTGTTGCTCTTGCAGGTGTTTCATTCACATGACGTATTGAAAAACTGATATGCTACGACATGACTGCATGGCGAACATAAGGAACAGACACCAACGTAGAAATCATGATATGCATGTCATGTAAGTCATGACTACACGTCACACTCATGATGTTCTGGCGGTCGTTTCGCTAGGTTCATATATACCAAATTTGGTACTACGTGACGTGAATGGACGACGAAGGTAAATGACCTGTCCAAACATAAAAATCTTAATATGCGTGTCATGTAAAACTTCACTACATGCTACGCTTATGATGCGCTCAAGGCTGTTTCGCTAGCTTCACCTATACCAAATTTGGCATTGCGTGAAGCGAATGGACGACGAAAGTAGTTGACACGTCTAAACATGATAATTATGATATTTGTGTCATGTGAAACATGATTACATGCTACGCTCATAGCGTGCTCGCGGCCGTTTCGCTTGCTCCACATATCCGAAATCGGCATTACGTGACGTGAATGGACGACGAAGATAAATGACACGTTCAAACATGGTAATCGTGATACGCGTGTGGTGTAAAACATGCATGACTACATGCTACGATCATAGCGTGCTCGCGGCCGTTTCGCTAGCTCAAGATATATCGAATTTGGTATTACGTGACGTGAATAGACGACGAAGGTGAATGATACGCTCAAACATAATAATCATGATATGCGTATCATTAAAACATGACTACATTCTACGCTCATAGCGTGCTCGCGGCTGTTTCGCTAGCTCCACATATACCAAATTTTGCATTACGTTACGTGAATGGACGACGAACGTAAATGACACATCTAAACATGATAATCATGACATGGAAGTCATCTACGGCACAATTTACGTCTGCCTCATAACTTTGTGTTGATTCGAAAGTGACATATGGACCTTCCTCATTCGTGATTCGCATATCATCGATTCCCAGTGTACGTGGAATGGGCCAATTTTTTATTTGTGTTCTTATTTTTATGACGTTCATAACAGTTTTTATGACGATTACAAGAAAAACCAAGCCTCTCTTATTTCGTTACGTCATACATAATGAACCACTCTGCCGTGTGTCAGAATATAAATACCTGGGTGTTTACGTCACAGATAGCTTGAGCTGGGAACGCCATATAGATTATATCTGTGATAAATCGCAAAAAAAGCTTTGGATGCTTCGTCGGAGGCTTGGTGGCGCGACACCTGAAGTAAAACCTATAGCATATAAAACCACAGTACTTTTGTTGCTGGAATATGCATGCCTGATATGGAAGCCATATATGCACAATAATATCGTTAAATGTGAACAGGTTCAAAATAGAGCCTTAAGATTTATTTTTAATTCATACCGTAGGACGCAGTCCGTAATAAGTCTAAAAACTAGGGCTCATATTCTTACATTGCACGAAAGAATGAATATCAACAGCATGAAATTATTTTTTCAGATATTCCACGGTATCTACAAAACAGAGATAACAAAAATTTTTACTCTAGACACGTCGCAATCGCGAACAAAGTACACCAAACACATTAAACTTCTAAGCATAACACAAAATCGTTCAAGAATTCTTTTATTGTATCCGCTATTGACTCATGGAATAAGTTACGGAATGACGTTGTACTGTGTAACAATGTTAAAGATTTCGAATGTGCATTTGAAATGTTGAACTGAGCTGTGATAAGGCACTCACTTGCTCACCTGTGTTAATTTTCTGCCGAGTTATGCTGCAGTGTGCGCATTGAATGTTGGATTTTTCATTTATTTTTTGCATTGCTTTTGCTTTCTTTGTGTGAAATTGTGAGACGTTCTATTTTCGCATTGACTTTTGAAATTTGTGTGCCCATATGAGCAACTCCTGTTTTGGCATGTATGCTAACAGTATGAATAAATAAATTAACTAAATTACTAGGTACACATTGTTTAAAGAATACTGGTTATATTATTTTTGATTACCTGCAACAACATTTTTGTCTTCTTCGGTCTCAATGCAAGTTTTATTGTGATATTGCTCTTACGGCTAATCAGCTTACTTGTATTTGTAAATGCGGACAACTGGTCTCCTACAGCCTATTGCAATCCTACTTCCTTCTGTATATTAATTCTGCACGTTGTTCTTAAATTGTAGCTGAAATAAACTTGAAATTAGAAACAAACTTTAAAAAATTGGAACTTGAACTTGCTCTAAGAACGAGAATGCGTGTTTTATTTTGACATAGGCTTAGACAGCGTATTCATACTAGACGAGTGCGTATCAAGCAAAGTTAAGTGGTGTTCATCTGTTTAACTGCGAGTAAAACAAATATTGTGGTAAATGCTCGATTTAAATTAAGGATTATTTCAGTAGTCTGCCGTAACAAGCATTGATTGAAGATTTTTTTTAGTTTGTGTTGCCAAATTGGCCTGTCACGCCATTCCCGTTTCTAACTAATTTAATGGCTTTCTTCGCTTTCGCGGTTGTTAACGATACCCCCACACGTTTTACCAGCCACACTGTGTCACTTCACAGGCAGTTGAAATAGCGCGCTATATACAACTAAAATTTACAAGACTACAGCCATTGTCTTAGTGCTGTAGTGACTACAACGTCGACCACATATACAAAAGCAACAACCATACTACTGCGACATACGTGCACTTCTCCCTCAATATATATATATAAATATATATATATATATATATATATATATATATATATATATATATATATATATATATATATATATATATATATATATATACGCATATATATATACTGGCTTATGAAACGTAATGAGCGCCAGCCAGCGCTGAGGTATTGCCGTATATATGTTTCGGTATTCAAATGTAATTGACTCTGTTTTTACGTGCGAATATTCTAGGGTACGCCCCTCAACTCGGCAACTTATACATCTTTGACAACAAAATTAGAAGAAAAAAATTAAGGTCGATTGACGCTGGGGTGTCAAGTCTGAAGGTTTAGCGAAGCTGTTCTTTGTTTCTTTTCGGTGATCACTTTGCTTCTTCCCGCCCTTATTTATTTTCCTTTCTTTCTGTCTTTTACTCTGTTCTTTTCTCTCTAAATTTGTGTCCACTTATTATTTTCTCTTCATCTGTCTCATTCTTGCTCAGTCTTTTTTCTTCGTGTTTTTCTCTTTCTTTTTATCTCTGTCTCTTTCTCGCTTGCGTCTATTTTTTCATATTTGTACGTGATTTTTTTCTGCGTTACACAAATCGACGACAGCATGGGACAACCCGAGTCGTTAAAGTGCTCAGCACCTATCATCATCGAGGCGTTCGAAGAACAAGAGGAAGAAAATTTCTCCTTGGCGTGAGCGCGCTTTATATGCTACAGATGGCTATGCCATTCATGGGTTAGCCTGCGTTTCGTCAAGCTAGGACAGCGCACAACGACAGATCATAATTTTTCAGGCCTCTAAAGTGCTCCGCACTTAAAATAGGGCAAATTTATTCCCCTCCCGTAATTCTATAGACAGTAGCACGAGACTTGTGTACTGGAGCGCGCTACATTGCTCAATGAGCCAGACATTTGCAGTGAGGCTACTAATCTTTCCTTAAGTAGAAATTACTGCTTATTTGCTTCTAATGTCCCTTTGCTTTTTGCGAGAAACGCTTTATAACGTGCCACGTATATACTGACGGAAAATTGCTATCATTAGAAATATGTAAGGATAACACGGTATTTTAATGCTAATGGCGCCACCAGCCTGCTCAGGTTTTTAGAAGTACTCAAAAAAAGCTGGATATTACACTTGACTCAATCGATTCTCGCACTATTCCAGTTGTATCTTACTTTGATCATCTCGCCAATTCCCGTTCCCGCACCTTAAGTTCTGAGTTTGGTAGCTCTTAGAACTTTCTCGTGTTGACATAGTAGACGGCTAGAGGCGTATAATGTTTTCTAAAATTTATTCATTCAACTGTTTTAACGTGTAGAAAAAATGTTTTGTGCCAGCAACGAATGTATGCGCGGATCGTAAAGATTATTTACCAATATCTGATGTGCGCATATATTTCCTCTATAAGCTTACCTGGAAGGACTTTCTTTTTCTCCTCTGGGAGATAGTAGCGGGCAACGTCGTAAGCAGTGCCGAGTAGTAGAATAAGAGAGAGAACTCCTAGGAATATGCTGTAAGAAGAAAAACAAGTGAAATAGCAGTAAATGTAGTATCATGAAGTTTTATACACATTTGGAAAGGGCCAGCGCTATGTCTATAGGATGAGGTTGTGACTTGGATTCCGTCTGTGGGGATCGCTTGCATTTCGATATGTCGAAGTAGCATAAAAATAGGGGCAGGGGGGCTGGTACATTACAATGTGTGCCCCCACATTATATGACTAAAGTTCATCATTCATGAATACCTCTCTATAAAATGATTATTAACAATGTCGTGGTTTTGGCACATGAAACGCCTAAATTTATATGAAATGAGTAATGAGGCATTTGAATATGTGATAATATAAAACCTGTTAAGCAGCCCGTCTTTTTTTTACCTTGAACAACTTTATCTGGCTTTTGTACATAAGGATATAATTTTACTAATATTATTAGTAATAAAATTACACCATATCTGCCACTAAAGAGAACCATGTTTAGATGCGTATAGCAACGGGCGCTAGCGCTTACACTGGCGGCTGCGTTGACGCTGTAGCTCATCGCGGCTTTTTGAAGGAGCGAAACCTGGGGAGGCGCAAAGCACACAGTGATGGTAACGTGTTTTCTACTGGAACGTAGTATTGCTGCTAATGAGCAATGAGAGACAAAACATTGCAATTAGACACAGAGACGCGCAGTGTGCTTTTAACGTGTACGCTGCGCATTCGTACTGTTGAACAACGCGCAAGAGTAATCTCTCAACTGCACTACCATGAAGGTCAAAATCAAGTGCCTATGTATAGGGAGTGCTCAGTGAACGGTTGTTTACCGCGAGTAGTCAGTTCTTACAATTAACAAAGTCGCTAGCAGACACTGCCTGCGTCGCCGTCGCAAGGCGATTCAGGGGGAGCATAGGAGAGCAGAGAGAGGGGGAGGGGACACACATGCGCAATGGAGGTATAAATGCCTCTCGGAGGGATGCCTGGAGGAGAGAGAGGGGGGAGCGTAGCAAAGGAGAAAGGGTGCGCAATAAGGGTTAAGGGCCGCACACCGAATGGAGCTTGACCACAAGACGCTTCGCATCTAATAATATTATTAATCGTTAGGGTTTAACATTACAAAACAGTGATATGATCATGAGGGACGCCGTGGAGGGCTACGGAAATTTCTACCACCTGGGCTTCTTTAACGGGCCCTAAAGGGCCCTCTAACACGTTTCGCCACAACACTGTAAAGCGATAGCGTTAAAGAGCTCGTGTCACAGAAAACCCACCGCCGGCGTCGGCCTTGTTGGTTGTGAGCTGAAAATCGTCTGTGCGTCTGTGACTGAAAAATCAAGTTACCGAGATAGCCGCGAGAGGCCGCTACTTGTGCACGCGTGCGCGCGATCACACCGATAAAAGCCGCGCATTCAAAGAAGAAAAAGTGCTCAAAGTTACAAGGTGTGGTGGTTTCTTTTCCCTGCCACCCCTCTCTGTTTAGCTTCCAGCGCTTTCGTCGAGACGAGAGAAGAGAGAATGCAAGTGCAGCATGAGACAAACCTTTGTAACTCCACTCGCTCTGAACGAATTCTTAAAATGTTTGCGGCAATGAATTCGTGAGGCAATACGCTCTTCAAATTAATTCATTCCATGGTTACGTGAAAAAATGTTTCAGGGCCCCTTTAACGCATTTTTTTTCGACAGGTGTCACTGCGAGAACGAGCCCATTCGGTGATAATAGCACGCGCTTGTCCAATCTACTGTGTGCATGGTTGTGTGCGTGCGTGTGTATGTAACAAAACATACGAATAAGTGTGCACTTAGCGGTTGAAGGGTGCACTAGGGACCGGATTTCGCTATCGCGTTCAACTCATAAAGGCGAAGCTTAAGGGTCCCCCAATTTTTTACGTTTTTCAAGCTGATTGCGTATACAATGAAGGCTCTTTAAGAGATAAGTGCCGCAAGAACGGCAGTGATAGAGGTACGCAGTGCGAAGTTATTCAGCGTAGAGATATCAAAATTCAATGAAATGGATGCTTAACCTCAACTAGAATTTCGCGGGCATAACTGACCGTGTTTTTCTTGCTCTGTGACGTCGGAAGGCTGCCCAATGAAATGAACTGAAAGCCCTACCATAGAGGAAGCTTGCATGCTATTGCCTGTTATTAACAACGTATTGATGACGCCGTTGCGGTGGTAACAAATAATATTTACTTGAAGAGGGAATGACGCTTCCGAAACGAGGAGTGCAGCTCGCGAACGCTTCTATAATGTTTGGTGACTCTACTGATCTTTATTTTTTGTGATGGCGTCTGTATATCAACACTTTTCTGTTTCTTTCTTTTAGTTTCTTCAATAAAAGGCACCTGGAGCATCTCCGGCGCGTTTACTCCAGCACCATGGCGTTCGGCGCACTCTTTGAATAGCTTTGCAGTTCTCAATTTGGAAAAGTCAGAGAGCTGTATTCTTTTTCTAGTTTGGTGAAAAACTATGCTAGAGAAAAAAGAAATCCAATAGTAATCTCTATTTTGATGCGATGCCGTGATTAAATTTAACATTACATTTATCTAATCACAGGCCGGTGGCCTCCATCATTCCCGCTTGCAATAGCTCTGGCTAGCGCCACTACAAGTTACGCAGTCAGCACCGATGTTTTTAAGCGTTAGAAGACCCTTTTGAGTTCACGACTCTGAAGCAATTTTATCTCCATCAAAAATGCGGCCTCTGTGGTCATGAATATATCCAATGACCAATGGGTCAGCAGTTGACCACCATAACCGCTAGACCACCATGGCGGGTGTAACAATACACACATGCTCTTACTCCTGGGCCCATGCACTTCTGAAAACATTCTAATACATTTGTTGCATACACGCTATTTCAAAGCAGATGTATACACCAGACAGGATACGCATGGGTGCTGTTCGAAATTACTCTGGCAAAGTTAGGCGTCCTCATACGATTGTCATTGCAAACTCCCAAAAAAGGAGCAGCAATAATTCATGGCTTTGGTGCATTTTATTAATGCGTTGATTTCTCGTATTCCCCATACCTAGACAGACCACGTTTTTCTGAGCTTTTGCTAATGAATGAGCAACAATTTCTGCAAAGGCGGAACGTAAAACATTATCGGGATACGCATTCACAAATGCGGATTTATTGTCTGACCACAGGTCAAGCGCACGCGACCCTAAACGACAGGTATGAATTTCGATCGAGGCATGTCATGTACGCACGCCAAAAGCACGCCAGTGCTCCCCAATTACCGACATGAGTACTCGACGCAAGCTGTACACATTGGTTCTTGACGACTTGATCACGAATCAAAGTAAAAGTTGCCTTTATCTGTCTGGGGAGGGCGCGCCACCAACCAAACATGCAAGACTGCAACGTCTCCAGATGCCCCCCCCCCCCCCCCCCCACCTCCAACCCTGATATCCGGCTACAGTGTTCTTTCGGCTCTGTTCTGCGTGGCAGCGTTTCGGCTCGTCCTTTCTTTGTACAGATTTAGCGGGCTGGGCATGCAAACAATGCGTTGCGATTGCTTCAGCTTCTGAGGCGGAAAGAACGTGCTTCGTACTTCTCTTTGTTCTGTCCTGTATTCACAGAATCTGTTCAGTGATGGCACAGACTAGTGTGCTATTACGAGTTATTCAAACCTGTATTTGAACTCGATGACAAATACAGCAAATCCAGCGGTACACATAGTAATGGTGCACAACGTTTGCGGTCATTATTAGTTGGTCATCATAATCGCAGCCATGGCCTTGTGGTAGGGTGTCCACTTCGGTTGCGGGAGGTCGTGGGTTCAAATTCCCGTGCTGCCGGGTACCCACTGGTTCTACAAAATGGGCACAGGCGTCCCCCGGCCCGACTTTTGGCTACTTTCAAGGGTGAAACGTCTGGAAGGGGCAGCCTACGCCATTTAAAGCCCGTCAAAACATGTGAGCGCAAGGAGTTGAGGTAAAGCTCGCTCGGTAAATTCACAAAATGTGCCGCGCGCAGTCGCCGATGTTTCACAAAAAGTATCATTAGAATAACGCGTATTAGTTTTTAATCCCTTCCATCTTTGCCATTAGCTGCTAACGCTAAAACCTAATCTTTCGCTGGAAAACTGTGATCTGCCGATCGGCTAAATATTACAGGTCTTGTATGACAGCTGTCAGTCTCTGCGGAATCTGCGACGTAGTAGGCGAACGTGCGTTTGTTGCATTTAGTCTCACTACTCTTTCATTCCACTCAGTAAATTGATACGCTATTCATTATGACACAACAAACTTTTGAGAGAAAGAAAGAGAAAAAAGCTGTCCTTACCGTACGTGGTAGCGTTAGTACATGATAAGGTATTTTATTGATGGTCATATTTAAATGTAGCAATAGTTTCCCAATACGGAAAATACGATGGCCAGGTATGCATTCCGAATCACGCGGTGGAGCAACATGCATTAGTTTTCGACTTTGCCCATGCATACAAAAAAAAAAAGTTTCTGGCATAAAGCAAACGGCTGCTGAAGCTGCTATTAAAACGCTCAAGTTCAAGAAGATGAAGTAACCAAAACGAAGCTCTTGTTGAACCTTCCTAACTTTTAGAAGCTACTCAATTCAGCACAAAATTGTGCGCTATTGCGAGATAATCTAAGCTGTATTTGAACTCGATGACAAAGAAACCAAATCCAGTGGTACACACAGTAATGGCTTACAACGTTCGCGGTCATTATTGGTTCAGAAAAAAGTTGTTTTACACATATTATGTGGTAGGCCAACGACCCTAATCTTGACGCCGCTTTCCTACTTTCAGAAGCCTCACAGTTAAGCCAGAAAGAAATTGCGTTCAATGTACCATACAAGGTCCGTCAACCTGAGTGCAGTTTGCCGTGAATGGTGCATCGGCAGCACGACCGGAACAAAAGGAAAAGCCCGTGCAATTAGGAGGGCGTAACTCCTGCAAGTGTACAAGATGCAATTTTCTCGTCGTTTCCGCTTGAGTGGGTGCACATGTTTTCGCGTGTTTGAAGCTGCGTTCCTTGCCCGACTGTGCAATAAAAAGCACAT